CAAATCTGCTACAGCATGAGCTCCTCTCTCCACAGGGTCTCCAGCATGGGCTCTCCATGGGGTCACGGTCTCCTTTGGGTGCATCCACCTGCTCCAGCATGGGGTCCTCCATGGGTTGCAGGTGGATATCTGCTCCACTGTGGACCTCCATGGGCTGCAGGGGGACAACCTGCCTCACCGTGGTCTTCACTACAGACTGCAGAGGAATCTCTGCTCCGGTATCCGGAGCGCCTCCTCCCCCTCCTTCTTCACAGATTTTGGTGTCTGCAGGGTTGTTTCTCTCACGTATTCTCACTCCTCTCCTCCCCCAACTGCTGTTTCACAGCAGTTTTTCCCCCTTCTGAAATATGTTATCATAGAGGCACTGCTACCGTCGCTGATTGGCTCACCCCCCCCCATCTTGCCCTGCAAAGTCATTACAAAGGGGCTGGCAGATAAGAGCCTGGGCCTCCGAGAAACCTGTGCCCCCCAAGTGTGCATATAAAATGGCAGTAAACCCCTGTATTCAGACACCTTCATCTTTCCCATATTGTTCTCACTTGCATTGTTAGCAATGCAGCTCAGCTTACTGTCTTAGTAAGAAAACATTAACTTGTATAACCAGCAGATTAATGACAAATCTAAATGTATGCCATAAGTTAAGTCTGTGATAAGGGTGTCTTACTTATTCTGGACAGAACTCTTCCTAATCATATGCATACAATTAATACAAACATGATGCAGCATGCAGAAAATGAAAGAAAAAAGCTTACAAAAGGAACAAGCTTTGTGATTCTCATGTAGAAACAAGAGGGTTTGTTTCTCCCTTTTAAAGATAAAGTAACCTTTTACTGTAGAAAGGGATATTTATTTTCTCTTGGTCAGCTATTCCATTCTGAAATCTTAGGTTTTTAAATATAGGAAACTTCAAAAATCCATAGAGGTTTCTTGATACCATTCACAGAATCACAGAATTTTCAGAGTTGGAAGGGACCTCTAGAGATCATCTAGTCCAACTCCCCTTGCATTTAGGATATCAGCCTGAAATAGGATTGATGCAAAATATATGTGAAAGCATTTAAGCTAGGCTGAGCCTCTAAAAGCTGATAGGCTTTAAACTATCCTGCAATAAACGAATCACTGGCTTCAGAATAAATATTAATGGCCCCGGCTTTGCAAAATAGTTTAAGAAAACACACATATTAAAGATGATGAGCCTTAATGAGGACCCTTGCTAATGCAGATATGTTAAGGCTACATTAAGTGGGAAAGTGTGCACTGCACAGGATAAAGATCCCCAGCAATAACTGCCAATCAGGTATCCATGAAAAACAATGAACTTTACCCTGTTAGGAACTTTACTCTTGTCACATATTATTAGGACAACATTTCTTAAAATGCAAACTCTAAAACATCAGAAAGCAGTCCAATAAATATAAATTCTCTCAGTACTAGGAATTTATATACGCATTTGCACATTTTCATAAATCCAAATGAGAAAGTGGAACAAAATGGGAGAATACAAATTAACAGATATTAACAGAATTAAGCATTATTTTTATTTGGATGTAAATCAAAACCATTGTGATAACACTGTAGATGACACTCCTTGGATATTTTTTCCTCCTCAAAAGACTAGGTGTCTGTTTAATTTTAAAAAGACTGAGAAATACCACACTGCAGGAAAGAGAGAAGCCTTGAGAAGATTTAAAAAAAAATAAAAATCTCTTGGCACAATTTTAATTTGCTAGCCTTTTTGGCTAGGTAAGCTCTTTGGCTTACAGCTTTCAAAGGAAACACCCGAAGCAACAACAAAAAAAACCCTCCAAAACAACAAACTGGAATTTGCAAACCTACGGTGTAAGAAGAAAAAAAAACAAACAAAAAACAACAGATTGCAAAATATGCCTCCTAATTTCTTTATTTTCCTATTACTAGTACTATGCTGATAAAAATCTATTTGGGTAGTCCAAACAAGTCTTAATTGTTTAATAAAAAAATGAATTTGGCATTGTGCGAATACTTAACAGACTAATCAGCAGTTATTCAACAAGCAACAAGAATGTTAAATATGCATACAAATTGTTGTAGGAATATTTAAAGTTGATTTCAACTCTCAGAACGTTGCTAGGTACAATAATTTTAAGTAGTATTAAATCACTTCTGAGTAATGAAATAGATCTAAAAATAGAAGCAGCAAGTTATCCCATTACATTCAATAGCTCTACAAGATTAACAGTTCATATAGAATTTTATAACAGGGCAAGAAATCAATGGACTGTGTCCAACAGACTTGCATTTCTAACAATGCCTCTATACAGGAACCCACATGAAACCACACTGCTCACAGGCAGGACATACTTAAAAACTAGGCAGACAAGTTAAAGCTTGAAAAAGCTTCAAAACAGAACAGGTCTCATTTTACCAAATTGTTCCTCTAAAGTGAGCACTGAGGGGAAAATTCTTGCTGTATACATTTTTCTTTTGTGTATCATGACTATAGCACCTGGCACTTCTGAGATTTTACACACAGCATTGCTAAATAAAAAAGGCAAGCACTGATTATTAGTAAACTGCTAGCATTATCAAAACATAAGATATTAAAATAATTACTTGTTTGTAAATAGATTACTTGGTCTTATTTTGTCTTCCTAAGCGCACAATGTAATATTTAAAACCAAAGCTAGCTCTCTACTTTTTAAAACCTTGTTTTTCCATTCTTTTTAGTTTAACAAGAGTCAAAAGTTATATAGTTAAAATAACACATTAAAATGGGCAGGAAAAACAAACAAACTGCAAATTTACTCTTCACCACACAGCGCAAAAATCATGGTCACAGCTTCATATTTAATGTGGAATCACTTTAAGTATACAGTAGTTCAAAAGATCCAGAAACTGGTTAAGAGTTAAAAGCCAGTAGAACAAAAGTACAGAAAATCCAAAATACATCTTTGACCTTTTTAATACTAAATTTTAGGGTCACATGTCTGAATAGACAAGTTTGCTTTATGAGGAAAGAAACTTTGGTATGGAGTTGAACTAGCCACATGAGTAGCACCTGTAGCTTTCAAAATAAATAGTAATGGCTAACTAGACACCATGGGAGCAAGATATCCTTTTAAAAAAAAGACTAAGAACAAGCAGATGCTTGGAGCTAGGCATCAAGGCTGGACAACAGAAACTAGCATAATTTTTTTTTAAAGTAAATTTAAAGCACATGTTAATTATTGTATTCCTGACGCTGAAATTTGTAAGAAATTTTTCCTACAATGAGAAAGCTTTCCTTTAATTTACTAACCACTCCTTTTAAAATTGCACTCTGATACTCGAAGAACACTTAAAATTTTTAAGACTCCCTCTATTTTTCTAAAATATTGTATTTTTATTCCACAGGCCCACGCTGTTAGCAGTAGGTGTTGCAAACAAAGTATCCCCTTACTCCAAGAGCTATTTATTAAAAAGGTCAAAGATAAATTCCCCCTCAAAATGGAAAAAAGGGGTTTTTTTTAATAAATTGTACCAGAAATAACAAATGATCTTTTTAATGTGTGATACTGTCCTACAGCCATTGATAAAGTAATTACCAGAATGTTAATCTGTGCGTTTTATGGGTTTGCAACAAAACACATACACATTGAACAGAATGAGTGAAATTTCAGTTTCCAGTGTGATGAATTTTAGTCATTGAATACATTTTAGTTTTTATTTGCATATTTGCACTGTAGTGCTGTGACAACAAATCACACCTATGTACCAGAGCATACATCAACAGTATGATGTAACTTTACTTACACCACTGCTATATTTAGCTTTTTGAAAGAGATATAAGCATACACTATGGCCACCATCAAATAATTTTCTGTTGTGGTTGGTGGGTTGTGGTTTTGTTTGTTTGGTTTTTTTCTTCTTCTTTGATAACCTTCACTTTTTCAGTAATACTTCACTTTTAAAAATTTGAATTATTGAAAAAAAATCACAGAAATTTTATACAGGAATAGCTATAAGGAATAACCTCACAGCCACTGATATGACAAACTTTTATTTTAAGGGCTGAGAGGCATTAATATCATATCAGCAGAGTTGACTGAAAAGAATGACTAACTTTGTCTAAAAGGGAAATGCCTGCTTCTGCTTGTATGTTGAGGAAAGTAATTCAGAGTTATTTTTTGGCCTTGCTATGTCACAAAGTCAATCATACAAAGACCTATGCATTTAACCTAAAATTATAGTTTTAAAAGCCCTTCTATTAAAAACAAAAACATCATGCAAAGCTTTGATCAATTATGCAGCTGCTTTAAAACTGTTGCAAGACAGTATATATTAGCTTTTATACTGCTAATGCACAATTAACAGCAAACTTGATTAGATTAACACAAATTTGTTTTAATTACACCTTTATAAAACACTAAGGAGACAAATGCCACAAGACTGGCAAAAACATTTAATTCTGAGTGCTCAAATGGCAGGATAATTGTGTTGTAACCCCTTCAAATTTAGGAAAAAACCCTGATAATCCTTCAGTCTCACTTTACAAAATAAAGTTCTGTAAAACATTAATTGTGAGGGGAACAGTTTATACTATCTAACACAAAGTAATTTACAACTAGTATCAAAGGCAAACAAAAAACCTTCTAAATAAAAAGTCAAAATACACATAGCAACAGAAGCACAAATGCTGCATTAAATACAATCAAGATAAGACAATGCACTTAAAAAAAAGACAAAAAAAAGAAGTTACTAAAGTTAGCAACACATTTAAAGAAAATGCAATGAGGAAAAAACCCTCAAACTATTTTTTCCAATGACAACAGTTTCCATTTGCAGTCTTTCCATCCATAAGTTGTCTGATACAGTACATCCATTAAAATATTCAGACTCTCACAGAAGAGCTAGGTTATTCTCTTCCAAATCTAACGACTGAGTTGGTTTTGGCCATTTAAACAGGCATTGTGTCTGTTTAAGAGCAAGGCAACAAATGGACTTTTTATCACCTTTGATCTTAGCACTGATGACAAGCATTTTTAAAAGTTATCATAATCTTTTTTGTCTTTTTTTCCCTCTGCTTCAAATCCATCAACCCCATCACTGTCCCTTCTCCTTTTACGATTATTATGGATGTTGAAGCGTTGATTCATCTGTGGTAACGGATCCATTCCTAAAACTTTGTGTATTTGACGGAATGCAAGGAGTCTCAGTGCAAACTAGAAAAAGGGTAGAAATGAGATTTTTCTGTTAGAAACAAATGTCAATTTCGAGTACTTTTTCAAACAATTAATGAAGAACATTAGTGGTATATATTATCCTTAGCTCTTATTATCCCCTCTTCCTTCCCCCAAAGTCAACACAATAAAACATGTATGTCACATTTGCTGCTTCTGTACAAAGTACATCATCTTAGCTTAAAAATAATATACATGTATTTTAGCTGCTGGACTTGCACTGAAGCAGCCAAGGCTTGTCACACAGAATCTTAGAATGGTTTAGGTTGGAAGGGACCTTAAAGATCATCTAGTTCCAATCCCCCTGCCATGGGCAGGGACAACTCCCACTAGACCAGGTTGCTCAAAGCCTCATCTAACCTGGTCTTGAAATCTTCAAGGGATGGGACATCAACAACTTCCCTGGGCAACCTGTTCCAGTGTCTCACCACCCTCACAGTACAGAATTTCTTCCTAATATCTAATCTAAAACTACCTTCTTTCAGTTTAAAACCGTTACCACTTGTCCTATCATTACACTCCCTGATAAAGAGTCTCCCTCCCCATCTTTCCCTTTCAGATACTGGAAGGCCGCTATAAGGTCTCCCCGGAGCCTTCTCTTCTCCAGGTTGAATAACCCCAACTCTCTCAGCCTCTCCTCATAGGAGAGGTGCTCCAGCCCTCTGATCATTTTTGTGGCCCTCCTCTGGACTCGCTCCAAAAGGTCCATGTCATGTGCTGAGGATGCCAAAGCTGAATGCAATATTCCAGGTGGGGTCTCACGAGAGCAGAGTAGAGGGGAAGAATCACCTCCCTTGACCTGCTGGCCACGCTTCTTTTGATGCAGACCAGGATACGGTTGGCCTTCTGGGCTGCAAGCGCACAGTGCCAGCTCATGTTGAGCTTCTCATCAATCCACACCCCCAAGTCCTTCTCTTCAGGGCTGTCCTCAATCCATTCTCCGCCCAGCCTGTATTTGTGCTTGGGATTGCCCCAACCCACATGCAGGACCTTGTACTTGTCCTTGCTGAACTTCATGAGGTTGGCATGGGCCCACCTCTCAAGCCTGTCCAGGTCCCTCTGGATGGCATCCCTTCCCTCCAGCGTGTTGACTGCTCCACACTGCTAGGTGTAGTCAGCAAACTTGCTGAGGGTGCATTCAATTCCACTCTCCATGTTGCCAACAAAGATGTTGAACAGCACTGGTTCCACTAACGACCCCTGAGGAACACTACTCGTCACTAGTTTCGACTTGGACATTGAACCACTGACCACAACTCTTTGAGTGCGACTGTCCAGCCAGTTCCTCATCCACCGAGTGGTCCATTCGTCAAATCCACATCTCTCCAATTTAGAGACCAGGATGTCACGGAGGACACTGTCAAATGCTTTGCACAAGTCCAGGTAGGTGATGTCTGTTGCTCTCCCCTTATCAACTAATGCAGTAAACCCCTCGTAGAAGGTCACCAAATTTGTCAGGCAAGACTTGCTCTTGGTGATGCCATGTTGACTGTTACCAATGACCTCCTTATTTTCCATGTGCCTTCACAGAGTTTCCAGGAGGATCTGCTCCATGATCTTGCCAGGCACAGAGATGAGACTGACTGGCCCGTAGTTCCCCGGGTCATTTTTTTTTTTTTTCCTTTTTGAAAATGGGGGTTACATTTCTCCTTTTCCAGTCAATGGCAACTTCACTGGACTGCCACGGCTTTTCAAATATAAAGGATAATGACTTAGTAACTGACTAATCACTGACATACTTATAAGAAGATTTTCTTGTTGCCCTTGATGTCCCTGGCCAGATTTAACTCTATCTGGGCTTTAGCTTGCCTAACCTGATCCCTGACTGCTTGGACAGTTTCTTTTTATTTCTCCCAGGCTACCTGTCCCTGCTTCCACCCTCTGTAGACTTTCTTTTTGCTTTTGAGTGTGTCCAGGAGCTCCTTGTTCATCCATGCAGGTCTCCTGGCGTTTTTGCCCTACTTCTTTGTAGGGATACATCTCTCCTGAGCTTGGAGGTGATCCTTGAATACTAACCACTCATTCTTCCTGGTCAGGTGGCCTGCAGCAAACCCCCACTGTAATGTCACCTGCCTCTGCCCTCCCTTTAATCCTGACCCATAGGCTCTTGGTCAGCTCGTCATCCATCCTCAGGTGGAGCTTCATGCACTCCAACTGTTCAGTGACATAGGGGGCAACACCCCCTCCTTATCTACCCTGCCTATCCTTCCTGAGGAGCTTGTATCCTTCCATTCCAACACTTTAGTCATAAGAACCATCCCACCACATCTCCGTGATGCCAATGAGATCATAGCCCTGGAGGCGTGCGTATGTCTCTAACTCCTCTTGTTTATTCCCCATGCTATGCGTGTCTGCATATAGGCACTTAAGCTGGGTCCCCATTGAAGCTGACTTACTGGCTGGAGTGACTACAATTCCTTTGTGCTGCTCTCCAGGCCTCTTGGTTCCTATAGCCTCAGGAGCCCCTGGCTCACCTCCATAAGACTTCAAGTGTGCTGCAGTGTAGCCAGCACATCTCAGAGCAACAGGCTGAGTGCCCTCACTAGCACCCCATCCCTCAAACCTTGGTGTGTCATCCCTTGGCTTGTCACAGGCAAGCCTGATAATACCCCCCTTCCCCCATCAAGTCTAGTTTAAAGCTTGGTCAATGAGCCCCACTAGCTCATGAACAAAGTTCCTCTTCCCCCTTTGAGAAAGATGAACCCCATTCAACACCAGCAAGCCTGGTGCCGTGTAGGCCATCCCATTGTCAAAACCCCCAAAATTGTGTTGGTGATACCAGACACGGAGCCATGTATTAACAGACTGAGTGCATCTGTTTCTTCCAATGTCATTGCCTGTAACTGGAAGGAGAGAAAAGATAACCTGCGCCCCAGATTCCTTTACTAACCGTCCCAAGGCCCTGAAGTCTCTTTTAATCACCCTGGGGCTATGTGTTGCCACTTCATCGCCACCCACATGGAAGAGCAGCAGTGGGTAATAGTCCAAAGGCTGTACCGGGCTAGGAAGTTTCCTAGTGATATCCCTAACCTGGGCCCCAGGGAGGCAGCAGACTTCCCCAAGCGGAGGGTCTGGCCGGCATATTGGACTCTCTGTTCCCCTTAGAAGGGAGTTGCCTACAACTATAACCTGTCTTTTCTTCCTCACGGAGGTGGTCGTTATACAGGGGGGTAGGCCTTTCCGGTCCTGTCAGCTCTTCTGGTGTAGTCAGACAGTCTTCCACATCATCCATGGGCTGGCCTACCTCATCCAGAGCCTCATACCTATTGTACAGATCCACCTAGGTAGGCAAGGAGGGAGTTCGCTTGCTGCCCCTAGCACAGACTTGCCTCCATTCACAGCTCTACATTTGGCCACCGCTTTCAACCTGGCGGGAGGAGGATACGGGATCCTTTTGTTCTTGGATTTTTTCTGGTGTCTGTCTCTGTTTCTATCTCAGTGAGGTCAGAGCATGATTCCACCAATCTCTTTCTTTCTTGCACTCCCTGATGCTCCTTACCCTTTCTACTTCCTCTCTTAGCTCTGCCACCAGGCTGAGCAGATTGTCCACCTGGTCACACCTCACATGTCCCATTACGCATTAGTAATCTTTAGCAAAAGGATCAAATGAAGAAGTAGGGGCAGTAACCTCTTAAGCTGCAAGTGTGACTGGTCAATACTGTAAGTGAATACAATAAATGTTAAAAATGAAACCTACACAGATTTATTTATAAAATATTAAATTCCAATGTAATTTTAAGTCTAAGAACGTACTGCTGTAGAGTAAGCATCTTTACAGATATATATATATATATGGGAGTGCTTCAAACTTTTCAGGAAAATACATTAATTTTAGTCCAAAAATGAACACTATTAAACATCCTCTGTTGTGACATTTTCATTGCCTAGCTTAAGACTGATCATCTGAAAGACTGGACTATATTCTAAGAAAGGAAAATTCATGTCCACCATATAGCTCCATTTGAAAAAAAAAAAACAAACCCAAAAAACAACCCAAAAAACTCCCAAACAAACCCACCACCCCACCCCAAAAAACCAGCCATCAAATTTAGTTACTTCACACATTTCCTTACCTGCGCACTTGAAGTAATATCCTCTCGTTGCTGATCTGTCATTACAGCAAGTGTATCAAAAGGCTCTTTCTCACAAGGGTCCAGAAGGCCAGGACCACCTACAACAGTTAGGCTAATTAGTAGCAAATCTCTACCTTATTTCAACCAAGATTACAGATTTAACATTAGTTAAGCATAAGTATACAGACACTGATCAAATGTAACTTACCTTTAAGGATGATTCCTGAAGATATACACTCAAAAACTCTTCTCAATGCATCCCCAGGACTCTGTGGTCCAGTAGCGCTGCTAATTGCTTTTTCCACAAGCAACTCCATAGCCTAGACCAACAATAAGGAAATCCAGCCAATTTAGAAGGTTGATTAAAACAAACAAAAAAAGCTACTACTGTTGTTCAATATAGAACTTTTGATACTGGAATTTTGAAGAACTTTACACATCACAGAACGCTTTCAGTTAAAATAAAAAAAAAAAAAATCAGATATTTTATAAAGATGAACAAAAAGAAAGCTGCAAGATTAACATTGACTACTGATATGGATATGCTACTTCTCATCACAAGTTGTCCAAAAGTTTTGTAGAAATTTATACAGTAGTAGCCAACATATGCATGTAGACAACTTGTCCAGCCATTTTTTGAGAGAGCATGAAACATGGTGGGTCACTGGAATCTGTCAGCGACATGAATAAACAGCACACAGTATGAAATGATTAATTTGATTCATCTAATGAAATTAGATGCTACAGAGAAATTATTTTTTCTAAAGAATACAGAAACTTAAAGCATCAAAAATTTAATGACCTTTTAACATTTAAGTGGTTATTAGTTCTTCAGTTTAGCAAAACTGAAGATGACAGCAAGTTTTTTCCTGGATATAGGCTAACACTAACTCAGATGTTAAATAAGCGTAAAAAAACCCTTGATGATAAACAGATTTTCTAAAATTCACACATTATTTTATATTAGTTAAAATGGTTTAAATGATTAGCTGTATTTTAAATAGTTTTTTCTGTGAATATTTCCATTGTTTATTTTTATTAGACCTTTTTTTCCCCCAGAAAAAACTATCAAAGATATTTGCAAAAGTAAAGAATAGATTTTCTTAGCTTTTTCAGCATTAAATGGATGTTTCAATACCACCTCTTTGACAAGATTCATTTTCAAAACAACGTGCCTCGGTTTTTGGTGTTTGTTTTTTTTTTTGAGAGAGACTTTAGTCTTTTGGTTCCTCTCCTGAGTTTACAGTTGTTCAAATGTTGCCTTTTATTTTTATTTTCCAAGAGTAAATGCCTATTCTAATGCATGCAAGTAACTATAGGCAGTGTTGACTACAACCCTTCACTAAGGGTGCCCATTCCTTTCTATTTTAGCTCAATTTAACTGCCAAATTTCAATTCTTGAGCACTGTATTTCTGTGCTCCCACTGTATCACTCAGGATCAAGCTTTTGAGTTTTAGCAACAATTTAGTTGTTTTTAAGTATGACGCAAAATAGAGCAGGACAGAAAAAAAAAAAAGCAGATCATGTTATTGCATTTATTCAAGTTTAGTTCTTCTAAATCCTCATACAATATGCTGAAGTCCGCAACTTAAAAAATCAACCTTGAATATTAGTTCCTTCTAACTTGTAGGAACTTGACAAAATTCTTCTAATTTAGTTTTTATTTTTAGGTATATAAAGAGGCTGATACGAATGTCTGTGTTTAGACTTCCTAATATTTTCTATTATTACAACTACTTAGGCTCTTTTTGAAAAGCTCTGGCATCTCTTTGGTTTGTAACAGGCTTCTAGCATACAGGTCAGGAAAAGTTGTGTATCCAGAAAAATATATTTCTTTGATCTACGAAATTTCATCTGTGCCTGTCAGGAGTTACATATATTTAAAATCACCATTTTCATTCTGTATTTGTTTTTGTCAGTAAGACTTTGCCAACAGGCCAAAAGAACAACTGACTACACAGACTTCAATATTGACTCATATCACTGGCAATGCATCAAGTACCAGGAGCAAGCAAGGAAGCCCTTTTGGAAAGAACCGAGACACAGCTAGGCCTGATACACTGCTTCATACCTCTCTTCCCTTCTGGCTGTGCCTTAAAACAGATATTATGAGAAATAAGAAACAACATTCCTTGTTCTTCATCTATGTACTTGCTGTGTGTTGCAATAGTTCTAAGGAAGCTTTTCTAAAAGCATGCCAGTGTTTATTCTTTGGAAACTCAGTATCATAGTGATATTGAGGGCACTTATGTACTTCTTAGCTTCTTTTAAGCTATATTTGTACAGTGTATCTTTCATGAAGTGTAGTATGGAAACTGGAACTATTTTTTTTTTTTTTACTTTAAATATTTAAAAACCAGAAATAACTGCTCCACATTTTTTCCAGAAGCAACAAATATTATCAAAATTAATTTAATAAAATTGTCTGCAAGCTTAGTACAGTTGTAAAACATTTCTCATTGAAATAATGCCAACTTCTGTAACTGTCTTGACAATGTTAGCGCTCTTCCTGCTAAAACTGGAAAGTCTACATTAGGAAGCAGCATAGCGCAACAGGATTTGGTCTATGAAACAAAACAGTCAGAGCTGAGTTTACCTCCACGTATATACGTTTCAGAGATTTTGTTTCAGACTAACTTTGTCCAGTCCACAAATTGAACATCTGTTAATGTTTGGAGCACAAGTTGCACTCCTGAAGAGCATCATTTAAGGTAGTCAATGTAAAAAGAATGCCCCAAGAACACTTGGCTGCAAGAATTGAGAGCGCTAACTGGGTACAACCTAGAGATCTGTTTCTAAGTGACACTGATTAAAATGCTAATGGTGACACATCCACAGACTAGTACTGTGGTATTTCATGTTGCAGAAAGGATATATTAATGATTGCAGGAATTACTGTGATTTATTCTTTCAAGTAGCCTTTCTGTTATCACAGAGCTACCTGGGCGTAGCTGACGTTTTCAATCAGTTTCAGTGAAGTCCAAGCAATTCAGAGTAAGTGGTTAGGAAAAAAAAAAAAAAAAAAAAAAAAGATTCTTTTATACAGAGTAAAGGAAAAAATGCTAAAATCTGGAATAAGACCACTACCCACAAAGAATTCAAAAGAACAAGAAAATTACTTTTGGAAAAAAATTCCGGCTCCAAATGACAAAACCTCAGAAATTTAAAGTTTTAGATGGAATCTGGATCATTTGTTGGGGGGCGAACCCCCAAAAACAAAAAACCCAAACAAACCACTACATTACTCCGTGAAAAAGTCTACATTTTAAAACTGTAGTTAACGCTTTCCTATGCTTTACTTGCAGTACCACGTGCATTAAAAAGACTCGTTCAAAAGAACATTACTCACCCAGCTTGGAAAATCAGACCAAGTTGGAACCCGCTGACAGAGGTCACGAAGAATACGTATGATAATCACACAGGACTGCAGACCATTAGCTCTAGCCTTGAGAGCAATACAAAATCAAATTGATTAATCCCAGCACCTACAGCAAATAGGACTTGTTGAAAGATTAAAACACCACTGTTCAATGGAAGCTCAGATACAAGATTGAAACAAATCATTCTACAACTTTATTCCATGAGCTGCCATTTACAGCAGTATTTTATACAGGGTTAGTAATTTAAGGTGGTAGAAGTCAAAGTGCACAGGTTATACAAGAATAACATTTCTTGATCCCCTATACACTTTGACCTATGTTCACTTGTAACAATAATTACAGTATCTTTCTATATTAGAAATAAAAATAATAAATTAAAGGTCTAAGAAATAGGCATAGAGACTGAAAGGTCAAGGGAATCTGTTTGGTTTCTTTATTGTGCCTTTGCCAGAATGCAAAGTCACTAAACCAAACAGTTGCTTCTCTCTTTTCATTCCCTACA